TTTTAAATGTCTTGATATATTGTTTTTGTTCATTTTTGTTTGTTCTTTAAGGTAGTTTGGCCAAACATTTGAGCCATTTTGTGGATCATTTTAATCATTACGTCTCATTTGGATCGCTTTCCGTGTCTTTAATGTAGTTTTTGTTGAATTTGGGTCATTTTGTGACTCATTCTGGTCACTTTGAATTTCTTTATGTTGTGTTTTGTTGTTTGTTTGATCAGTTTGTATCTTTAGGCTTGTTTTATTCAACATTTTGTCCTTTTTGTGGATCATTTGGGTCAATTTTAGAGCTACACTGGCCATTAAGTCTCATTTTGTGGCGTCATTGGGGAAGTTTGACATCGTTTTACTTTGTCTTTTGTTCCATTTTGGTTATTTTGTGCCTCATATTGGCCACTTCTGTCTCATTTAGACTGTTTGATGAAATTGTCGGACCAGTCAGGAGACTCTGTTCCAGCCTTTTTCTCAACACTGTCTTGTTGTCATCGATAGATTCCAGCACACTGTCGGAGGAGCCAACCAGGACGAGGAAGAGGAAGGCCAGCCCTGAGAGGAGCGTGGAGAGGAAAAGGGTGAAGAGCTCTGAGCTGGAACAACCCGGCACCAGCTCAGACGACGGGGAGGGACCGAAGACCAGGAAGAAGAAGAGGAATCTGAGGAGACGCCTGTTGGACCAGGAGGTGCCGTCCTCCTCAGCAACCACTAGCAGAGGTAGGCTGGTCAGATGGAGGCTCAGTGTGGAGATGGTTGTAATGTCATTTTGGCCATATATCTCTTTTGGATCATTGTTCGTGTCTTTAAGGTTGTTCTACTTTAATTTGGCCTATTTTAGTTATTTTCCATCTCCTTATCATGTTTATTGTTCCATTTTGGTAATCCTGTGTCACTCACTGGCCATTTCTGTCTCATTAAACATCTCTTTATGCTAATTTTACCTCTTCATTTTTTTATTTTTTTTTGTCCCATTTTGGTGATTTTTGTGTATGTGTGTGTGTCATATTGTTCATTTTGTGTCTCCACACTCATCTCACTCTCTGAAACAAATCAAACATTTGTCCTTTAACTTTGTCCTGTGCAGACACCAGCAGCGACCCTTTAGAGGGCTGCAGTCAGCCAAAAGAGGGCATAAAGAGAAAAGGCGCTGACAATGAAGAAGCACAGAGAAAGAAAAGGAGGCTTCAGCTGGTGCATGAAGAAGAGGACAGAGGAAAGCTGTCCGTGGACGAGCAGAGAGGTCAGCAGGAGGAGATGTGTTGTAGATGGATAGAAATGAGGATATCATTTACGTTCCTCACAGTTGCAGTAAAACTAAATATACTGTACGTGTGTCCTTTCAGTCCAATTTGAAAGTAAATATGAGCAGCAGCATAAGCTCGGAGCAGGAGGCTGTGGATCGGTGTTTGCCGGCTGCCGTAAATCTGACAATCTGCCGGTAAGATATGAAGAAACAGCTTTTTACAAAACACAGTGTTTAAAGAGGTTTTGTTCCTGTTTGGAACTAAAATGTCTGAAGTGAGAAAATAACCAAAGCCCTGTTTTCGTCTCACAGGTAGCGATAAAACGTGTCCCTACAGACAAGATTTTGTGCAAACACGTGGTGAGTGTGCAGCCCTAAAATTGTTGTGTTCTCCTGTGGAGCTTCTGTCCTTCATCCTCCGCTGTGTTTCAGGACCAGAACGGGAAGCAGCTCTCCATAGAAGTGGTCGCTTTGTTGAAGATCCAGGCCGGAGCAGCAAGACCAGCGGGGACGATATCCCTGCTGGACTGGTACGACCTGGGCCAGGAGCTGATCCTGGTTCTGGAAAGACCGGTCCCCTGTGAGGATCTGTTTGATTACGTGGCGGGCAACGGAGGTTCGCTGGAGGAGGAGGAGGCCAAGGTAGGCTGCTGGGAGGATCCTGTTTCTAAGGTTTAATCAGTAGTCCGCATCGTTATTAATCAATAATCGA